CCACTGCAATAAAGACATTTCGACACACTAGTGGAACAACGAACTAAACGATAGGCAGAATTGTGCACTAGTTTCCAGATGTGCACTACTAGTGCTACGAGTGAGGTTATAAAATTCTACTAGGTAACATCTCGCGCCTCACTAGTCGTACTAGTAGCACGCTTTAGTCAACAAGTGTACAGTTTTGCGAAAACTGGCAAAGTGTGGTTGCGCTACTAGTCTGCCAAACATTTTGTACTAGTGAAGACAAAGAGGGAACTAGTATATGGATCAACTGTCTAGTAGATGCAATAAACACTCCAATTAAAAGCTGTTTGGACATATTTTTTTTCCCCTGAAATGTATGACATTTTTGCACACTAGTAGAACAACGACATGCCACTAGTGAGGACCTTGAGACTGATATCAAGGCGATATCCAGCCTATTAGTGTGCTGAATTGTCTTACTAGTGAGGATTTATCCGATATCCTTGTCATCCACCTTCGGGTGCGATATGTGGACTAGTGCGCTCTTTGTCCTCATTAGCATGTCGTCGTCCGCTGGTTGTGCAGAAATGTCAAGACACTCGCAGGGCAGAAAATGCTCCAACAGCTTTCAGTTGGAGCATTTATTCCATTCCATTAATACAATTTAGCCCACTAGTAAAGCAACTGTCCGACTAGTGAAGTTCCTCAAAAAGGTTACTAGTAGGGCAAAGTCATTTTACGAGTATGCCGAGTTGCCTCACTGGTAAAGACAAAGATGCTATTACGTGGAGTTGTCTGGGGCTGGAAGTGGTGCGAGCTGCGGCGGCGTCTAAGCGAGGATGTGGAGGTACACGGGCGGGTTCTTGACGAGGGCGAGGAGGCGAGCGTGGATGTCTTTGATGAGCGTTCTCTGCTGAGGTTCTCGCTGCCAGCAGCCGCGCATCAGCAGGTAAACTTGTTTGGGGCACGTGCGGGGACGCTCCAGTTCGCGGCCCTGCGTGATGCACTCGATGGCCTGCGGGGGGCAGCGCAGTGCAACGGCAGACGTTAGCCACTCTCAGCAGATTTTGCCGTTTTATTTTATTTTATTTTTTAAGCCACAGTTTGAAAACCTATTATGAGACTTTACATTCAAACCACCTCTCCAGACGCCAACTTGAGACCTTTACATGAAACCAATGGAAACCCTAAATTGAAACCCTACCCATCACTTGAAATGTAAGCTAGAAACCGAACCCTCAATGGAGACCCTGACACCATTTAAAACCAAAACATGGAACCCGAACTCTAATTGCAAACCTCAACCCTAAACTTTAAGCCCTATCTTGAAACTCAAGTTCTTTGCCAAAGCAACCATGGAAAGAAGCAGCACATTCCACCTCCCCTTTCTGTGTTCGGGCTCGGGTGTTTGTGGCCTTTCTGCTCCAAGTGAACTTGACGGAGGCCCAGTTTGGATGGTCCTGACAGGAGTCTGATTCTAATGTCTTGTCTTGTCGCTGGTAGGGATCTTCTCTGCTCTGTCCTCGAGGCTTCTGATCACCCTGAGCTTGTGTTCCAGTGACTAGTGTGAGTCAAAGAGAAGGTCTGTGTGGGTCGCTATTCTGTAGACCCGAATATCGAGGTGTCTTCTGTCCTACCTCGCCCTATAAAGTCCCCAAAACATCAACACATCCTCAAAGATTCGTCGGGTTCTTAGAGCCTCCTGTTGAGTGAGATTGATGCCCAGTGGGTAATGGTTTGCATTCATGGATTAAAAGGCCATCTGCCTTGGGTCATCCTTTTCCAGTTCAAAGCCTCCCTTCAACCTTGGAGTATTTGTTCTGTTTTCCACAGTGAGTTGTGTGTGTGCGCGCACCGTCGGTGGAGTGTGATTTATTGAAAGCTCAATAAGACCGAGAGTGTCCAAGGTCATAAAAGACTACAGTAATAGACTCAGTCACTTTGTTTTCTGAGACCACTCATGGACTCATGTTTGTCGGCGCTTTCCACATACTCTGGGTCCTGATTTCACAAAATCACTTCACCTGTCCCTCGCAGAGCGGATTAACCAGATTCATGCTGCCGAGACACGAGGTGATTAGATTAGGATGGAAGGCGATCCAGTCTGCTCTTGAAAGGCGAGACGCTGGCGGTGGTTCCGCGGCTCTTGAAAGGGACACACTGGTTTTCTCGGGACTGCTCCACTCCACGACGCTATTATTGATTTGATTTAAGGGGCAGACGGAGGGCTCCAAGCAACACTCACACAAGACTCAAATAAACACACGGACGATTGACTTGATCTCTGGCTTCACGTGCTATTCTGATACACGCCAATCAGGGTGGGTGTAAATGTTTGGTGGTGGCCGTAGGCGCGTTCCGACGTGCTCATTAGCATGCCCCAAGGCAGCTGTGGCCGATGCAAAACTGCTTCCGAAGCTTAGCTGCTATAAAAGGCGATACTTCCAATTACGAGATCACATTTGTGAGAGTGCCGGCCGTCAACTCTTTGACCAATGAATGCAACATATCAATATCAATGCCAGCTGTTTCGAAAGGAACATTTGCGACCGGCGACTAGCGTTAGCATGTCTACAACTGGTGAAATAAGTACAATAGATTACAGTTAGGTTCCCTCTTTTGACATTTGATGGAGAATAGACAAACACAATGTTATCATGTTTAAAAGTTTCATTTTGTTATATCCTTGATTGAACTCGAACGTGTTTTTTTGACCGGCGACTAGCGTTAGCATGTCTACATCTGGTGAAATAAGTACAATAGATTACAGTTGGAGTTGCTCGTTGACATTACAGGAGATGGAAATGCAGTTAGTCCTTTCCAGCCACAGAATTACCTTACATGTGCCTTGTTTTGATGGTTTTGTGGTTAAAAATTAAATTATATACACTATAGAAAGAGGTGGAAACAGTGTTTGTGATGATAAAATAACGGAGTTCAGTCGCAAAACGTGCGGTGTCTTAGCCGTTTTGTGTACAGTCATGATGACGCTGACTTGGGTTCCTGCGAGCCTTAAATCGCCGCCACCTGCCACATTGCAGCACAACTTTTGTATTGCATTGTGGGATGTGGCGGCCATTTTGGGCAAAAAAAAAAGAGCCATTTCTTAACAGCAAGAATGCGGAGTACAATCTTTGTGAAGTCACCAAATACAGTCATTGTAAGAACGCTAGACGCTTTGTATAAATGGAACGGCTGTGTACTTGTGTGCTTGATTTTCTTTCTGGGAAGTAAAAAAGGCCAGTTTTCCCAAACATGCAGCGATTTCTTTTTTTTTTCCTTCCGCTTTCGCAATTCGCCATTGGCGTGATGAGCACGCCACTCACCTCGCTGTTGGACAGCTGGTACCAGGGCTGTTTGCCGTACGTGAAGATCTCCCAGAGGACAACGCCGAAGCTCCAGATGTCGCTCTCCGTCGTGAACTTCCTGTACATGATGCTCTCGGGCGGCATCCAGCGGATTGGCAGCATGGTGCGGCCCCCCACCTAAAAGCGGAATCACAACTTTATGCCGTCAACGCAACCACTATCATGACGGTCAAAAAGGCATTTGTAGTAGTGCCGCTTTGGTCCTCCAGGGGTGATCATGAGTCACTGTCGCTCAGGAGTGAATTCGCCAAACAATCAATTATACTTAACAGTCTTCCCGCTCTGTTTTGGTCCTCATCATTCCCATGAGGTGAACCCCAACCTCAAGCGCGCTAACTCTAATCTGATTCCACTAACCCCAATCCCGAACTCTTAATCCGAAACCTAAACACGAAACCTAACTTTAACATAAACCCTGAACTCTTCATTTCAAATCCAAACACCCAACTCTAATCTTAACCCACTAAATCACAGGTGTCAAAATCAAGGCCCAGGGGCCAAGTCCGGCCCCCCACGTCACTTTATGTGGCCCGCAGGAGCAAATCATGTGTGTCAACTTTCATGATTCTTGCTGAAATCTGTACCGAAATGTCAAATTGTCATGGGTAATAAATAACGTTGAGATTTTGAACCGGCCCTCCGAGGGAAGCTGTAACTCTGAAGTGGACTGCGACAAAAAATGAGTTTGACACCCCTGCACTAAACCAACTTGTAACCCTCACCTAGCAATTCTTAACTCATTCCGAGTTGACCAACCCTAATCCGAACGCGATAATTTTAAAACAAGCCCAAATTTGAATGCGGATCCTAGCCCGAATACACAAATACTAAACCACACCAAACGTGTACTTTGCAAAGCCTTACTCACCCGATAATAATCGGTGCTATAGATGTCCCGCGACATGCCAAAGTCTCCGATTTTGACCACCAGGCCTTCTCCGACCAGGCAGTTGCGCGTGGCCAGGTCTCGGTGAACAAAGTGCAGCGAGGCCAAGTAAACCATCCCCGACGCGATCTGGGCCGCAATGTGCAGCATCTGAGGGACGGTCAGCTCGCCCAGCGCCGCCATCTTGCACTCCTCCAGCATCCGAGCGTCGGGTCCGTGAGCCCTGCGGGACACCGGAGGCGTTTTGAACAACATCCTAGACCATGCTTTCAACTACAAGCAGGCGAACGTACATGTGTTTGTCAACATCGAAGGTACACCGTAAATATGGTGAGACGGGGCTTCGAATGAAATTTTGTGATGAAGTGAAGTTGACCTTTTGTAAACTTTTGAATGGGCAAGCGTTGACCGTTTAGGTGTCTTCGACATAACTTGCTGTTCTCTTACAAGTACCCGCCAGGCAACATTGACAACAGGTGTTTGATCCATAAACATTTTCAAGCGTTTGATTGCCTTTCTGTGACTCTTCCAGTCTCAAGCTGCAGATGACACGCGAAGCTATGGGAATTTGTCAGGGGCCATCTTGGTCTCTCTCAATGTCACCTGCATGATGATGACTGTTCCGATGCCAATTCTGATCCATCGAGGAAATGTATTGATCCATTCGTTGTCTACTTGTGGAATCGACTTGTGAATCGCTACAAAGGGATTTTCAGTGGTGGTCCGCGACACAACGATGAAGGAAATGGAAATGAGTGAATGATTCCCAACACGGCCATGAAGTGTACATTGCAAAGGGTTAATGGTGACACCCGCGTCTCGCAGCGCATCCTGTTCCGACTGATGGGCGATAATGCAACAGTTGGCGACACCCACGCTTTCGCCCGAGTCCAACCCAAATGCGCTCACTATTAGTTTAGCAGGCAGGTGGCACGGTGGGAACGCAGCTGCACAGTGGGACACCCTGGGCCTAAATGTGATTTTGGGTGGGGTTTTTTACGCCGCCAATCTGCCTGGCGTCAGAGGGCACCTGGCGTCAAGAACAGCTGATCCCACCGAGGTTTCCCCCAGGTGATGAGCTTCTAATTGGTCAACGTTTGAAACTCTCATCGAATGTCGCTAATTAATCGCATGCTGTTTCCAAGCCACCCGTCATCGAGTAGCATTGCAGTCTTGTCTTTTTAAAATAAATGAAGTCCTTGAAGCAGTTCTGACTTAGCAACTTGAAATTTGATTGGCAGACCGACCAAAAAGTCTCAAGTCATGCCGTGAAAACCACGAGAAGTTTGGCATTTCGGTTTGAAGCTGCCATTTTGAAAATGAAACTTGCCTTTTTGAAAATCAAACCCCAAAGCCACTTTGACTTGAAATTTGGTAGGCGTGCCCACCATGAGTAGACCCCACAAAAAAAGTCAAGAAACAATGCACGAAAAAAAATCCTTCTTTGGTTTGAAGCTGCTGTTTTAGGACTTTTTTTTTTTTTTAGACTTACCAATTTGGTAAGCAAATCTATTATGAGTCGACCCACTAAAATGTCTCAATAACCTACACACGGAATAACAGGTTAGCTAGCCATTTTGGTTTCGCTCTGTTTTTCAGTTCAAGGCGACCATATTTGTGTTGTTTTTCCCATTTCTGGGAGTCTTTCAAAGACAAACCGATCATTGATGTTTGTCAGATTGCGACCAAATTCAAATCATGCAGATGAGATGGGTGGACAGTCAGAAACGGTGCGGGTTCTGCATCGTATTCTGGACATCTGTGCAGGTGCATCGACTGTGGAACTAGAGCAAAATTGCATTCAGCCTGAGTCTTGGCAGCACAAATGTTTCACAGAAACTTGTGAGCTGCTTTTTTATCCTTGTGTTTTTTGCCAAGACCACACAAAGTCGCACAACATCCTAAAGAGGCCTAAGAAGAAATAATGGCAGTTATTAAGGAGCTTTGGAATCATTTTAGCAGACCCTCGCAACCTCTTAACATGTTTGCTCAAAATGTATAAACGGCCAGCAAAAATAAATAATAAAGCAAACATAATTTTGAGTTCCAAATGATGTAAGTAGTGATGGAAGTACAAGTCAACACCTAGCTAAAATAGCTGAACAGATTTGAGGTGTATTTGTGTGTGTAGGCATATTTTTTATTTTGTGTTATTGACTAACAATTACAAAAAAAAAAAACCCACAATTTTATATATATATATATATCCACTTTACAGGTTCTTACATAAATAACTTTGGCATTGTATTGCATAAAAATATGATGCTTTTAGGCATGGCATGTTTTCTTTTATGTTACTTTGTCACTTGATTGTTTTTTTTTGTGGTACCAGACATTAAACTGAAGAAGAAATGAAGAAAGGTGCTCTATTGATTACTTCCATGGCTTTATATACATGTATCAGTTTATTGGTGAATACTACTTTTATAAAATTTATCTGGGCAATATTTAGCATTTGTACAAGTAGGTTTCCCTTGAAAATGAATATAATTTAACTTCAGTTTAAATGGAAATTTTACTTTAACCAGGTTTAGCAAGGCCGTTTCGGATATTTATACCTACAGTTTTTTTTTTCCATTGAAATGAATGACTATTTGATTGAAAACATATCTTTTTATCTGTAAACATTTCTTGAGATATATTTTGGAAATATTTTTCTCTGGAAATTTTATGGAACCATTCAAATGTATTCGTGAATCGGACTCCCGTGGGAAATCATTCATAAAGAATTAGTTGCGATTTTGAAAATGTTTCTATGTTGTTTTTTTTCGAGGTTATTAATGGATGAATATATAGATGTATAATCGGCGAGGTATTCATTTAATATGGAGCCGAGTGGATAGTTTCGGGCGTGTGTTTGGGGATGAAAAGGTGGACGTACCGGAGGAAGCGATTGAGGTCGCCGTGGCGCATGTACTCAAAGACCATGGCGAGCGGCTCTCCGTCCGTGCACACGCCATAGAAACGCACGATGTGCTGATGCTGCAGAACCGTCAGGAGCTCCGCCTCCCTCTGGAAGTCCTGCCGGGTTGACTCGTTGGCGTCCTTCAGGGTCTAACGCCAAACAGGAACATTTAAAGCTAGATGCCAATAATCAGCGAATGCTTGCCATCACCGGGGTCGGGCTCCCGAGTGGGACACGAACAAATAAAAAGTACATTTTTTTCCGAAGTGAACGTTTTGCTTGTCCTTTTTTTTTGTTTTTTAAACTGTCAACAGGAGAGTTGGAATTTACAGTTGCAGTACCAGATTGCACCACATCTCGCCAGGCAGCACTGAGCTCTACTCATTGTAAATGCAATGCCATTATCAGGCTGAAGAAGAGACAGAAAAGATGTCCGACGCACTCACCTTGATGGCGACCAACATCTTGTCGCTGTTGGGGCTGAGGTTGGCGCACTCCGCCAGGTAGACTTTGCCGAAAGCGCCCTCGCCCAGCTCCCACTTCAGCACGATGTCGGCACGCTTGATGTGCTGGACGCCTGGTGGGCGGGGGGGAACAGAATCAAGAAAAAAGGATGCTTGGTGGTGTAACAAGCACCACCCCCCCGCCACACACACACACGTGACATTCCTGAAATCCTTTGTTTGCAATGTGACCCCTTTTGAATTGAACTTGGAGTGACTCACACATGTCTTTGTCTTTGATGATGCCACAGAAGTACTGCGGGTTCTCCACGAAGCTGGACAGCCCCGAATCTTCGTCCGAGGAAGGCGGGCTGCTCCCCAAGTTCATGAAGCGCAGCGACATGGCCAGGTCGTCCTCGGTGCCCAGCACGGACGAACCTAACGCGCCGGAAGGGCGACCACAGGGGTCACACACCCGAGCCAGCCAGCAGGTACAAATACTTCACTTCGTTATTATTCATTATAAATTATATTTACTCTAGTGAGCCTGAAATTTGGAGGCTTTTGACAATTTGAAGCTAAATACTCAAAAATCTTTTGACTTTTGTTGGACTTAATCAGCATTTTTGAGGCCAAGTATTATCTAGAATTTGAATTTTATCCCCAACTTTACTTTGACCACTATCCATACTTGTGTTGTTGAGCGCGAGCTCTTTTGCCACCCAAGGGTTGGTGATTATTGCGCCAACAGCACGTGGCAATTGCGCACCAATTTCTGAGAAAGCGCCCGTTTTGTTGGCGCGGCGTGAATAATGGCCGTGATCAGCGCGGCAATCAGGGTGCCGCTGAAGCAAAAAGACGTCACGTGAAGCCCATAAAAGGCCAAACGAGCCTGGCCTAAATAGTCCTGGCGTACAACCTCCAGGGTCCAACAGGCTTGGAAATGGAATCAACAAAAGCCAGCCGAGGGAGCGAGCACACTTAGGCAATCACAGCCACTTAGGCAAAAGTGTAACTGTACGAGCGAGGGTTGGGCCGCGTGCCCATCTCGCCGTGCGTCTGTCCGTCCATCCATCCATCATCTTTAATGGCCCCGCACCGCATGGCCGCAGCCAAGTGAGGTTTTCTGCGCTCTTACGGTAATTAAGGCACTCTCGGCGCAGCCTGCGCAAACTTACAGCTCAGCCAGATATGACTGAGTCTCGCCTCACCCCTTCTTGCCACAAGCCTTTGCCTACAATCTGAGAGTCGTGATGACCAATTTCACGATCACACCTTTTAACACCTGAATTCCACTGTTAAAATTATTCGTAGAATTAAAATCGGACCAATAATAGCGTCATTAATGACATGTTGAAGGATTTGGAGCTGGGTGGCTAGCTAGCTAGCTAGCAAGGTTAAGATTTTTACAGCTACAAAACCTGAATATTTATAACATATTACGTTTTTTTTTTTTTTTTACAAATTTGTTATTAGCCTCCTCTACAAGTCACATATATCTTTGGACATAAATCAAAGACGGTACATAAATGGCGTGTTACAAATGTTTACATACACCCAAGTGGTTTGGATAATGGATGGATATTTTCCATATATTTGTGTTGTAAAGTTTCCCAAAAGTTTGCTTTCCAACTTACGGTGAATGCCGAATTTAGAGTTGTGCCCGCATTTGTTGATCACCAACATGGTGACCAGCAGGAAGGCGCATGCAAACACAGCCAGACCCACAGCCACTGACACCTGACAGGTACAATTCATTCAATTGAGTCAAAGGTGCATCGCCTTTTTATCTTTTTTTTTTTTTTGAAATCATGATCATGAAAATAATAACAGACCACAAAGACTCGACTCTCCAGGTTCTCGGTCACATCCATGACGGATTTGTTGGTGGGAACTGTGCAGGGACAGCAGGCCGTCAGTCATTTCTGTTCTTTTTACGGAAGAAAAGTTGCTCTTAAAAGTTATTACGGTGACTCACTTGGATCCAAGTTGATGACTTGCATGTGGGGAAACAAAGAAGATGAATAAGTGGACAAAAACACACAGCAAATGTAGAAATGAACATGTGTGGGCTATTTTTCTTTGAAAGTAGCCGTTGCTCAATTCGCCGATGACCACTTAAATGACATTGTGGAATTGGCTAAAAGATGGGAGCAAGGTAAGCCGACTTCCTGTCAAATGCTTGTGGGGCACATTTGTACTGTGAAGAATACATTTGTGTGAAAATGAAAAGTTATTCCATCCCACCATCTTGGGCAGGGTTTGGTTCCAGACCATCCCTGCAATGAGTGAAATCTGTGATATAGAAATGCCCTATTGAAATACTCCTGATTATATATATTTTTTGTAGCATTTATGTTACTTGTTTTTTTTTAAACATACTTTAAAAATAAAAACCACGTTAAAAACATAAACTAGACAGAGAGAGAACAAGAGCAACCGATGAGACAAAATATTATACAAACAGCGTAACGGTCTACCAATCCCTCTGTGTGTTTTCATGAAACGAATCTCGCTTTTTTCTAAACTAACAAACTGAATTTATCATCTGACAATGACCATCAATAATCATGTCCAAAGATGTACAGGATCCAATGGACCTACAATTTTCTGTCGGTGTAAAAAGCAGGACTGAAGAGGATTTCACTTTGGCTTGTCTTCAGCAAAATGTGAATGACGTCTTGTCTTCGTTCGTCCTGTTTCAAATGTACTCGATGTGAAAGATATTTGTCTAATGGTCCACAGTAGAATTCCACCCAAGTAGGAGGCAAGACAAAATAGAGTCAGAAACTGTGAAACTTTGGGCAAATTTCTGTCATGGTTCTGTTTGTGGCCAACAGGTGGCACTGCAGGGTTCCTCCTGCAGCTGCACCCCTGTTGGTCATTATGTCATTAGTTGCTTAAAAAGACTCCCGGCACGACCACTCAGTGTGGGGTCCTGTTTGTTGTTGTCATGTTTGTTTTTTGTCATCGTTTCTGTCGCTGTTAGTTTTTTTGCTGCAGCCATGGTTTTTGTTTGTTACTTTGGATTCTTTTTGTTTTCATGACTTTGTCTTAGATTTAGTTTCCTCAGTATTTTGGTCATACAATTTGTCTAGTTCACCCTACTCCTCCCTGCCTCCCTGCTTTTTGGGGTCCTCCAACTACACCACCATCATGCAAATTGTGACAATTTCGGACTTGTCATTATTTGCCACGAAGATGCAGGGCCGACCCATTTGACATTAAATTGGGGTGGAAGAGGCCCCAGAATTCAAATGAGGTTGACTCCTCAGCTTTCAACTCGCTGTCAATTTACAAAGAGGGTAAATTGCTCAACTACGATTAACTGATCTTTATAGTATGATTTTAAAAAAAAAACAAAAAAAACCCCACACAATTTGACATTCCACTTATCATCAAGCGCACCCCCATCCATCTCTCTATTACATACATCTCTACTATGTGGATTTTTTTTTTAATCTATTAAAAAATGTTTTTTTTTTTTTTTTGGCATTCAAGTGGATTTCATTGGTCGGGATGGGATGGAAAACAAACAAATAACAAACAAAAGGATGAGCACGACAAACGACAGAACCCACCGGGAATGATGCCCTCGGGGTCGAAGAGTCCGAACGGGTTGTCCATGAACTTGCCGATGGCGGTGGCGTTGTCTTTGCCCAGCTTGTTGTCCACCAGCAAGGTGTAGCGCCCATTGTTGATGTGCGTGGGCTTGTCCAGCGACAGGCAGCCGTGCTTCTTGGAGCCATCGCTGGAGTCCGGGATGAGCTGCGTGTATGTGAAGGCAGTCTCTTTCAGCTCCGCGCCCTCGTACAGCCAGCTGATGTTGGCCTCGGGGTTGCCGTCCACCACGAACGAGAAGCACCAGTGGTGTAGTTGAACCGCGTCGCTTAGGTTCAGGATCTTGGCTGGAACTGGCAAAGGCGACATCGTAGGCGTCACCACAAAAGAAAAAAAAAAAAAGCAAGATGCACTTTCCCTTTGGCTCATTACAATCCTTCATTCCTTGTACTTTGGTGACTTTTTTTTCAATCCTTTTATTTCTCCTTTGCCCTTTTATAGAATTGTTTTTTATAAGAATCCTGGATTCCAATCGAGTGAAATTTGCAGTTGAATGTCACCAAGTTGGAAAGGGAGGGAAGTGGACATGTATAGCCGTCAGGTGGAATTCAACTGTTTACTACCACCGACGTTCATCTCTCAGTCAAATACGTTTTGTTTTTTTTAAACAGGTAGACATGGCAAATTCAAGCTTCTATTTAACTGTCCTGATGAGTAAAACGCCAGTAAGTGATGGCCTTGCATCACTTTGGATTTGGAGATCAGCACAGCTTTTATGTAGAAGATAAAGATTAGGTGGTCAGTTTCGGCTTGTCGCATTGATGGTGAGAGCGAGAAATGTGAACAATTAGAAAGTCGGACAAATTGGGGCACCTCACACTTCAAAGGGCATGGTAAAAAATAATAGTGAGAGTGAGAAAAGACGATGCAGTTCATGGAGAGACTGGCAAATATAACAATTCTAGCCATGCAGTGAGGCAGTGTCAACGACGGCACTGCAAAAAAGTGGTTATTTTGTTGTCAAAATCCTCCTTTCTCAGTTTTTTTTTGTTGGCATAGCTTGAGGTGTCACAAACTCCAAACATATTAGTGGCAAAGTCACACAATCTGCAAGAAAACGTGGCAATTCTTGCCGATTTTAAAAAAGCTAACCGCGGCCTAATTCTGACAACATTTCCAGTGTTGCATGTCCAACTTTTGTGCTGTTCTCTAATATGTGCAAGCATTTGCTGATTGGGCACTTTTGCTTTGACGTTTCCATGAATCGATGTCGTCCATCCGTGTTTTTCAGACATGTGCTGACCCCGACATGAATAATGAAGCCCGGTCAACATGTGGATCTGCAAACCACAAAACTTTCCAGGAAATGATCCGAGGAGACACTCGAGAGACCCCCGCCCAGCTTGGAAAAGTGCTGAGGAGTTGGTGAATTTTACCCCCTGACCCCACCTCCCCCCCTGCTCCCCCGGCCCCCCATGAGTACCCGCGATAGCCGGAAATCTTGTAGGAAAGTAGCAACTTTCTTTTCTGCTCAACAACGATTATAACAGTCTATTATGTATGTTATTGTGTCGAAGTGGGGTGTAAAAGGTACTTAAGCAATATACTCTTAATGTAGGCGTGGACGATATTAGGGGAAAAAAAAAAGATTACATTGCAGTTTTGTATTTTTTTTTTGGTGATGTTTGAACACTTTAGTTGAGTTCAGTAGTGCAGAGTATGAAAGTATACGGAGTCATTTGTATGAAGTCGACCTGTATTGGGCAGGTAATAGTACAAGTGAAAAATCATTTCTTACCATGCTCAGTGAGTACATTCCGAACACAGCTGTTCATCAATCTGTTTTAGTTGTAGTTTTTTGGGGTTTTTTTATAATGTGAGGCAGAGAATGCCAACACACTGCAAGTGGGCCAAGTTTAGGCACGGAAATGATGCCAACAGACAATGTGCAGTAAATGGATGTTCGAAACAAAGTGTGTGTGTCGCCGTTGCAAAAGTGTGTATGTGTGTGGGGAAGGGGGGGGGGGGTTCACAAAATGGTTGTTTTATTTGCTTTTATGTCAGAAACTGGTGTTTTTGGTAAAAGCAACCCATGCGGTACTGCTGATGACAAAAAGAACAGAAATAGCTCAAAACAAGCTTTTCTTTTCAGGCCAAAGATGAGCATCTGGTCTTTGTGTCGGTAGGTTTTATTGCTAACGAAGGTAATATTGTGTGGGTCTGGAAAGGTGGACCGGTCCAAATGCCGGCAACATGTGTTTTGATAAGTTCTGGCAATAAAATGTGTTGATGAAGGTCAATTTGAATGGCGTTGTATTTGCCTGGCTGCGTAAATCAGTGTTTCTTTCATTCATCAAATGTTGAACTCGTCCATTGCCGACAGCAGACATTGACAAGCACAGAGACATGTGCAGTTCTTATTTCGATGTTTAAAAGCAGTGTTTAACGAAGAAACGTAAAGGAAGGGTGGAGAGGAACCTGGTTGCGGAAGAGCCGCCGGAATGCAGCCAACCAATGGCCACTCAGCAGCAGTCAGCAGTAAGCACCCACGTTACTGTTCGGGGAAGTAATTAAGGGTAATTAAAGGGCCGGCGGTTAACGAGCGTGCGCCCCCCGAAGTGGGGGGGGGGGGCGTGTTGATGGATCGCCAGCATTTTGCCGCCTGCCAATCATGGGCAGATGAAGAGGGGTTTTCAATTTTTTTTTTTTTTTTTTTTCCGGAGTGGGAGGCAAGCATCCATTAAGGGCGAGGCTCAAATTGGATCTGAGCACAATTATCAGGGATTTTTTTTTTTCTTTCCTCCCCGACGCTGGTTATCTGTCCCTTGGTGCTCATGCATGGAGCCTTCAGCCCATTCAATCCTTTGGTCTTTTTGGCTTCCTGGTGTTTGAGATATGACAACCCCAGCCATGCAGCACTCGGCGACGGCTTTTGACCTCCCTTGGAATTCTTTCCGAAATGTGAGCATGGAATGGAGCAAATAACGTCGCGCCGTTCGACCAGCCTGGAAATAGACCGGCCATTCAGGAAAATTGACATGTCTTCCCAAAATATCTGATGGCCAGCACGCCCCTGGTTGAGATGGTGGAAGACACCCAAGAGCGTCACGCGGCACCCGTGTAGCCACCCCCCCCCCGACACACACACACATAAAAATGGATAAATTGAAAGGGTGAATAACTGTTATTTCAATTTAACCCTTTCAGGGACAACGGCTACCACGGTGGACAGCTTATCATGTTATCAGGTTACAGGGTGCATGAAAGGGTTAATCTCCTCAATTCAGTCATACATAGTTCTCTGTCTTTTCAAATGTTCTAAGCAATTATCTTGCAACTTGTTATATTAGTGTTGTATTGAGACACAAATGTCTGAATTCACATTCCAGGCTCTATAAGTGCAGGTGTTGAATCTGTACTTCTTTTCAGAAGAGATTTTTTCCGACGTAACTTGGGACTTCTGTACTTTCTTGCCTTAGAAAGAAAAGGGAGGCAACAGGCGGTCGTTTCAGAGCAACAGTTGACGTTTGCCTTTTTGTCCTCTGATTGTACACCGAGCATTAAATGTCTGCCAGCTGCACTTTTTATTTGTATTATTGTCCATTCGCGTGAGTGGCAGACCACTGAGAGCTCCATTAGAAACATAACAGGAGAACACTTCTTTTTATATGAGGGGCCATTTGCTCCAGAACCGAAGTGGCGCGGCGCGCCTCGCCTTGTTCTCGGCTCCCTTTGAGGCACCTCCATTAAGCTACGCAGAAAGCGCATGGAGCCATCACCGCCATGCTGGCGCCATTTGCCACATGCCAAGGGCATTTTTGCATTGGAAAGATCACAATTAGGGGGTGGGCGATATGAGGAAAAAAACCCAAAAATGGATATTTTGTGTGGGGTCACTCAGGTTTTGGAAGTCTGTCGACTAAGTCCCTTTGTAGTGATTAGGGAGTATGAAACGAGTGCCCATGTGGGAACTGACCAATAGTGTGGCTTTATAGGAAAAAAATGTGAAATCGACCATATTTTGACTGCCGCTTCCAGCCCGACACTGGCGATGAGCACTTGACCTCAACATTGCTCGAATGATAAGTCGGGCTTTGTTTACTCGCGGCGCTTCGGCTTTTGCCTACCCGAAGATGGCGCGACGGCATGGTGAAATGTCGCATTATTTCTATTGAGAACTCGGCGGGCACCTCCTTACACTCAATGTCGAGCTGCACCACGTCCTCCCCGGGCCCGGCCTGGTTCTCCGCCTCGCAGGTCAGGTTGTGCAGGTTGTCACTGGATGAGACGTTGATGAGGTACAGGACCACCTCTAGCGGGGACCCCCACATTCTCTCCTGTCACACACGGACAAAATTGCTGTGCGTTATTCTCATCAGTAGGCTAGTGTGTGCCCGTGCGTGCGTGTCTGTGTGCATTACCTGAGCAACGAAGCGCGAGCGGAGAGCGTGTGTGCGCCACTTGACTTGCGGGGTGGGACTTCCTGTCACGTGACACTCAAAGGTGAGGTTGCCCCCCTCCTGGACCTTGTTGTTGGAGGGCAGAATGGTGACCTCGGGCAGACCTGAGAACAGCCCACAGTCCACTAAGAGGCCTGCAAAAACACTCCAGTCTTGGTATCCTGGCAACAAGATCGGCCGGATAAAAGCAACAAGGGGCCATCTTAAAGAATGGCCTGATTTTCTTTTCTTTCTTTTTTTTTTTTAATTTTTAAAAAACCTTTTATTGTGGAGTTGTATCTACTGTGTGTACAGCAATTATCATGTGGGTTATGTTCAAGATCACCACCCCCACCCCCCGGCCCCTCCTCGCAATAAGTGGAATCTGTGCTATAGAAGCACCCAATTTATATACTCCTTCGGCATGTTTGGATTGCATTCATGGCACTTATTTTTTCAAGGTGATTAAATCCACTTTAGAATAAAACAAGCACTTTCAAAGACATTCTGGAGAATGTATTGAAAGCAAGAGAGCAAGAGCAATCGGGACAAAAATGTTGTCCCAATAGTGCAACGGTGTACCTACCTCTCTGCGTTTACGGTAAACACATTAAAGAATGTAACTTAGCATTTGGCAATATATAGTAGTAATCATGCCCAAAGCTGGATTGTTATTAAATCAACCTTCAGCCACTGCTTTCCATAGGCATAAAAAGCAGGACTAAAGAGGATATGACATTCAATCATGAATTGCAATTTCCTTCGAAGATATATTTATATCTTTCCAATAAAAGACAATTCGACACGTATCTCGAAAATATATTTCTAAGTGGGGAGATTCGGTTCGGTGTGATTTGATGCGCTCATCTTTAAAAAAAAACAAAAACAAAAAAAAAAGATTTTCCAATTCGAATTGGTTTGTGTTTCACCCCGATATTTACAGTATCTAGCAAATCTATGGGACAAATCTGTTTTTTATGCACTCATGCAAATGTCTAAAATGACTCCACAACGCTGACCTTATAACCAAAATGGCCGACTTCTGGTGTGTTTTACAACATGGCTCCTTTTTTTTGCGGTTCTACTCATCCTCGACGTGCCTACCAAATGTCAAGTGGCTTCAGGGCTGAAGTTCGCAAAACGCCAAATGACGCCAACTCACTGCAGTTGTCTAAGACGAGCGAGTTGAGCAGCACTTCGCGTCCGGCAGCTCGACACGTCAGCAGCTGGTCGTCCGGCTCCCCGCGCTCGCTGCGCTGCCACTGCTGCAGCCAGTGGAGTTCACACGAGCAAACCAAAGGGTTGTCCACCAAAACCCTGATGGGAAAATCACCAGACGTTAGCAGAGAACATTTCCCAAATGTATTCTATAAAAGCATACAGGCAATTATCAATGGAAAAATGTCAGCCCCACGCACTCAAAAGCAGCCTATCAATCAAGCGCACTTTTTATTCGGAGTTAAAAAAAGAAGCGTTCAGGGAACAAGCGGCGGCTTCAGCTGGAAGCTATAGTTTAACCTTTACGTCACCACTTGATGTTTCTTTTGCGCTGCACTTCAAGTTGCTGGTGAGCACCAAAAGCCTCTTAACGGCCTCAGGGAAGCACACAAATGGCCTGCAAATTACAGCCGATGTGGCTTTTTACGTTTACTTTGATATGACAAATACATATTATTTGTTTAAAAAGAAAAAAGAAAGACACGCATGAACTTTTGAGGCTGCGGCACTTTTTACCGAAAAGAACTCAAGTCAACTTCATTTGTAGCGCGCTTGAATGACAGCGGCGGCTGGCACAAAGTGCTTGACATGAGAGTGAACGGAAACCATCAACCGCAATAAATTGAAGTCAAATCATAAAGGTTTGCATTTGACCCATTATGACATGAAAAAGAAAGCAAAAGGATGCCGAATTTTAAAAAAGAGAACACGAAAACAACAACAAATACAATGGGAAACCTCTTTTTGTTTTGAATTCCCCCCCCAAACGTATGCTAGAATTGTCAGAAATGTTGTCGTCATCTAACCTTTGACCCCGTGCTTTCTTTCCACTTGAAGCAATAGAAATATTTTGACCACAATTCTATGCTTTATCTTCTTGCAATCCAATCCATGCCTTTCTTGTAAATATTTTAGATTTTTTTTTTCCTTTTTGTTTGAGTTAATAATTCTCAATTGCAGTCTGTTCCGCGAGCCAATTCCGAGCTCCCTCTTCAACAGATTCCGCAGACAAATTGCCAGCTGAAGGGGCGGGGCGGGGGAATTTTTAAAAAGGCATTTAGTAAGAAATCATCCAAAAGGTATCAAAAGCCAGATCAGCTGCATGTGATGTTGGAGACTGGAAAGGAAAGGCACTTACAGGTTGAGCAAGGGAAGAAAATGAAAGACCCGCCACGAGATGTGCTCCAGAGCGTTGGACGCCAGGTTCCTGAAAGAAACAAACAATTGCTTACATTTCATAAAGGCAGCGCACACTCAGAAAAAATTAAAAACTCCAAATGAGGTAAAAAAAGGGGCTGACGAAGTGTTATTTGTAAAATGTTTTGTACAAAAACTCCGAAAGTCGACTTGTTTTGTGTGTGTTTTTTTCATTTGAGCAAACAAGGTTGCGCCAGTCCCTTTTTTGGGGGTTATTTTTGAGCTGGGTTTTTTTTGGGGGGGTCTTTTTTCCCCTCAAGTACATTCCTAATTTTGCAGTCTTTTCCATTTTTTTTTTGTCTTTGGTTCTCATCAGAGCGTGCAGGTGTACCAAATATTTTCATCTGTGCCACTCTTATGAGCAAAGTAATCGTTGATGGATTCCCCCCCCCCCCCAAATGTGGCAATAAATGAAAATATTTGCTCCAGTGAAATCATCGTTTTCCGGTTGTTTTTTCATCTGTGGGCACAACACCAGTCATGCCCCCGAAACACACTCGATTTCTGGCCCCGCCCCCCAGTGGAATTATTGATCAAGTGATAATGGAGCCTGAGTGGAGTGTATTTATTATGCATCAGTTGTCAATAATCCGCCAAAGTGAGCGAGTAAAAGGTGACTGGCGGACGTCGTCTTTGCTTTCCCCCAAAGTTGTCGGCGCGCCACGCGCTTATCCAAACGTCAGCGAATCCCCAAAGGCACCCAAAACACGCAAAAAAAAAAAAAGAGTTTCTTCCTTTCCCCACATTTGTCACCTGCGAAAAAAAAACCAAAACCTAATCAATGCACAAAGACCATCTGGCGTCGTCTCACTGAAACCGAGATCAAGTTTCACGCACAATTTCTTGTAATCAGAGCGCAACAAATGACGTTACCCGGTGATGTGTGAGGGTGTCTTCGTGTGTTCAAAAGACATTTTGATCCAAGTTAGAGACATCGTTAAAGAGGTTTGTCTTTATTAAGTTTGGATTTTTTTCATGGTCTTTTTATTGATTTCTGTTTGCCTTATTTTTCTAGATCTCTGCGTTACGCAAAATTCATCAATTGACCAACTTTAGTTCTCTTGTGTTTCTATGTTTGCTTTACCTATCATTAATCTGATTCCGATTCTGATTGGAATTGGTTGAGTCAACTTTATGGGTCCATTTTTCTCGCAAAGCGGGCCGCTTCAATCCGGCTCTGGTTTTGGGGTGTTACTGTATGCCCAAAACGCTAATACGCTAAATTGTACGTCGAATATGTGGCGATAGACCTCCACCTGAAACGGCGGCAGCGCTTGAAAGTGAAAGTGACCGCCTCATTCCGCAAGCTATCGAACCAAAGCCGTGTAGCAACGCGTGGATAAACTTCGTCAAACGCTTTGGCCACACGGGAGCCACACTTACACATACTGTAGCTTCAGGTTGTGGCGGAAGGCGTTGGCGGCGATGTGTCTCAGTTTGCATGACGTCACTGTGCTACAGGGGAAACACGGACAGAATTTCGAAATCAAGTCATCGTAGTTTTCAACAGAAACTGCCGTTTGTGTAGTCAACCTGTGTGAATGAGTGCTGTGAACAATTCCTAGCTCCCGCTTCGGTCACAACGGGAGGCGGGAGAAGAGTATCTAAAAAGAGTATCTAAACGTGTTTTTTGCGCTCTGCCGAGTCTGGTCCCTCGCTTAAGGACCTGTTTGTCACGAAACTTGCCACGTGTTCCAAATTATGATGCAAATGATGTTTGACTCTGGTTTTTGTAGTCTTTAATTTAAATCATCTAGCGAAAGTATTTTTCTTCTGTGTGCAGTGGGGGAGGAAATTCCAACTGTCCGGTTATTTTCTGCCCCCTTCAGTATGGAGTATGAACTGCAACATTTTGAATGTGAATTAAGGTTTTTTTTGTTAGTTTTATAAAAATGTCAGAATTTTTTTTGGGGGGGGGAGTACAACGTTGAATGTTTATATTTATGAAAGTGCTCTATAAATACAGATGAGTTGAGTTCAGAGGAAAATTATTAATAAAAAAAAGTACTTGTCATGAAAAAAGTAATTAGAGTATCTTACAAACATAATGTTGGACTGTATTTCTGCGAGAGAAACCACAACTAGCACAAAAAGGACTGGCGAAGCGTGCCAACACACTCTGCCATCGTCCTCAACAGAGTTTCTTATTTTACTTTTGTAGCAAGCAGAAAAATACCCCCAAAAATAATGACGACGTTGATAATACTTACAGGTTTTTTAGCTCTTTGTAGTTAATCAGCTCCGCTTGCGTTAGATTTTCCAGGGCCGCTTGGTTTTCAATGTAGCTGTAGAGAAAGTACGAAATGTAATTCGGTGAGTGAAAAACAATGTAAGTGAAAATTTGCTGTTGTCCAATTGGTGTCGTCGTGAACATTGAATGTGGCCGTCATTCAGACATGCGGCACCTTGGAAAAACTTTGAAGTTGTCGCTCAATTCAGCAGCCGCAAGGACACCCTCCTCCTCTTCTCATATTATTGATATTTTTATCTTTTTCCTTCTCATCGACACCATTGTTTGAAAGTATGAATGTCTTCAGCTGTTTCATCATCATAATCCTTGGGAGAAGGTTTTCCATCCAAAGAGTTACAAAAAAAAAATCAGAAGAAATTCAAAAAATGAAACTTGCTGAACCGCATACTCTTTTTTTCCCCCTTTTTCCCCGTTTTTTTAAGACGCCATCAACACTACCTTGAGGATTTCTGCTTTTAATTGTCAACACGAGGGACACACCGGAAAGAAAATATGGATTTCTCGCGAATAATATCAGAAAAATCCTCCGAGAAAGAGTTGTTTTCCTCCGATCTCTGTGGGTGTTCATGAAACTCGACTGAGGATCTTTGTGTTCAATTAAATTTGAGACATTTGCAAACATCTGCTTGTACGCTGGAAAACAAATTATTTATTTATTTATTTATTGGGGGATTTCCTGACAGATATTATGGACCAACCAGTAACTTAACCAACAATTACTCTCCCACTGAGCCATGCCGCCCACAATCATTGAAGGGAAAAAAAAAACAATCCAAAAAATATATAGCTCTTTTAAATGTACAAAACGCTAACTGAATCATTCTGCTCAACATTACTTGCACGGAATCTGACAGAAGGCCATTTTAGATCCCCCCCCCCCACCCTCTCTCTCACTCCTCATCTCCAATAGTTTGCTGTCTTTTCTTCTCTCAACCATGACTCGACTCTCACTAGTCCATCCAGTGACTTCTGGCTCTGGCTGCCGCTGCCTCTGGTGTGCTCTACTTGTCAATTTTGGCAACTTAATGAAGCTTGAAGCATGCGTTGGCTCCCCGGTGTTTTTTTCTGACGACTGCTTGTGAACGTGCTTGATTGAATGTGCGACGGAGCCCGTCTTTGAAATGCGAACATCGGCGTCAATCAGATTCACTGTGGCCGGCAAAATTGTGACATCACGTTTGACTCATGAGTGGTGCAGCCCCAGAAAACCCTGCCTCACTCTCTTGCCACTTATTTCCAGCGTGAGCGGCATCAAGACGGTTCGGTAATCCAAAAAGGAACTAAAAATATGCAGAAAAATACCTGCAGTGTGTGGCATACTTTCGGGCACCCTGCTTGTTAGCAACCCCAGGCCAAACTTATTTTGCGTGTACGTGCATGTGTGTGTGCGCGCGCGTGTGCGTGTGTGTGTGTGTGTGTGTGTGTGTGTGTGTTCCTGTTTGATCGGCCCACGCGGCCGTAATGTGATTAGAGGGGCAGGTGGGCCCAGGATCGCCCATCGCCTTTACTTATTTGATTGAGCCAATTGGGTTGTATATCATCTATTGTTCCCGGGGGAGGGCGGGTGCGCATTGACCGGCAATTCACAAAATTGAATTTATAACTCTGCGTATGATGAATCTCGGCATGCCGTTAATGGCCTCTCCTTTTTGTTCGGCGCGTAATATAGCGGCCGCCGTTGTTTTTGAAAATGCACGTTTATTGATTTCCGAAGCCGGGCGCTTACTGTAGCGTGCGATAGCAAGGTGGGGTGTTGGGGGGGGGGGGAGTCCGCCAAGATGGCCGTGGGTGGCTCACATTGACGGCGATGATGGAAGTGTGAGTAATGCACTCACTCCACTCAAATAGCGTTTCAGAAAAGTTCTTGACAATTGCTCGGCCGCCTAATTGCGTCGAACAAAGCGAGAAAGCAGCGTGGCGTTGCCGGCAGCGACATTTACAAAGTGAGTCGCCGCTTTCAGAACAATATCGCAACGCGAGCCCTCCCGCAATCATCAAAGTATACCTCGGCGTCTCCAAGAACAACTCCTGTTGATTCTCTCTCGCAGGTAAAGCGTTGAAAGATGTATTTTTTCATAAATAATGCTGTTTGGAGAGTGTGGGGGGGGGTGGATTGGTAGAAAAATAAAAGATCTTAATCTTACAAAAATGCACCGCCACTCCTCCCCTCAAAAAATTCTCTATAAAATGAGAATCAAGTCGTTTGGGGGAGAAAGTTGGCCTTTATTTCAACAGATTTTTTTTTTTTTTTTACCCAGGGTATGCCAAAATTTTTTTAAGTCAGATTTTTGTCAGTAAAAAAAACAATTATTTTTCTAATAATTTCTTCAAAGTAATAGTCAGATTTCATTCCAAAGAAAAAATTGTCTTACGTTAAAAAAAAAACTTGGAGTACTTCAGGAGTAAAAAAAAAAAAAAAAAGATTTGAATGGTCGGAAATCGTTTTTGGTTGTAAAGATGCGAGTGAATAGGTACATGAACTAATGAACAACACTCATCAAAAAGTTTGAACCATTTCATGCACCCTGTAACTGTTATGCAGCTCCTCGTATTTTTTGAAGACAAACAAAGTTATAGACAAAAATGATTACGTTTTTAGAATATATATATATATATATATGTAAAAGTTGCATAGAAGAAAGACGGTAACAGTGCCCTGGCTGGCCATTTGTACAGCCAGCTTCTCCGCTTCTACGGTCGAGTAAAAACTCCTTGTGATAATAAACTCAAAATCTTACATATTATCATTACAATAAGTGGATAGGAGAAAAATGGCATTGTGTGAGAGGGAAAAAAACCCATAATTTTTCACCCCCCCCCGCAAAAAAACGTGTCTTTATTTTTTTTAAGTCAAATTAAAGGAAGAAAAGGAAAAAAATTCAAAAACATCCAGCAGAACAATGTGAGAATGTGAGTGACTTTGATGAGAATGACATTTCCATTTCCACCTTGGCGATGCTTTCATAAGAGACCGCCAGAGCACTGCTGCAATCTCCAAGTCGATGACAAACAAACAAATCCTGTAGATTCCTTCTCGATGGGGGGAAACTATGAAAGCCAAGCTTCATTTCTTGCTATTAGTCCAACCACATCTTGCAAAATAACAAATAAGGTCAGGGCAAACATCAATGGATTGTTTGCAAGGAATTCACTCGAAAGTCTCGACAACTGAAAAATAGTTTGTGTATCAAAAATTGTTTGTTTGCCATTACAGATGGTACCCAAGTAATGATCTGCTGACCTCAAGAAGTGCAATCTATCATACAAATGGATTATGTACAAACAAAGTATGAACAGAATACAATGATTTGCACGTCATGTTCCACCTATACAGTGAAACTCCTCTACAACGAAACCTACATGGGCGAAAACACCCCCTAGTGTGAAAAAATGTTCACGCATGAAAGCCATTCTCACTTTTCTGCTCCCCATACGACGAAAAGTCCCCCTGTTCCATTATACGAAATCTTTTTCTCTGCTCTTGCCAAACAATGAGATTCACTACAAGGAAAACAAGCCTTCCGCAAAAATCTAATCCAACCTCAGCATGCCACAGTGACCTCTACTGCTTCGTTCGGAAACGGCAACAGCAACCACCACACTAGTTTACACATGCGCAGTAGTGCAGGAAGTATTTGTTATTGTTAGTTTCAGACGCATTACGAACATTGCATTGCTAAAATGGCTACGAAACAGACCTTTGCAGACCAAGGAGTTAAGAAAAGCATTCATGCTTGAAGACAGGATAAAAGAAATAAAAATGAAAGCTGGAGGAAGCAAAGTAAAAGACATTATGCAAGAAATTGATGGAAGTGAAAGTGAATGCTGATCGTAAATTTCGCAAATTTCTTTCCCGTTTTTTTCTTTCTACACTGGCTATATGAAGTGTCAAAAAAGTGTATGCTCATATTTATGCACTAAGTATTGGAATACAAGAATAGTACACACATACGGTTTTGTGTGTGTGTGTGTGTGTGTGTGTGTGTGTGTGTGTGTGTGTGTGTGTGTGTGTGTGTGTGTGTGTGTGTGTGTGTGTGTGTGTGTGTGTGTGTGTGTGTGTGTGTGTGTGTGTGTGTGTGTGTGTGTTTACATCTGAGATCAAATTTGCGACAGTGAAAAGCCCCCTGTTGTGAAAAATTTCTGCAAACATGATTTCGTTGTAGAGGAGTTTCACTGTATCCAATTCAATTCACGACAAAGTCAAGATATTTCGTGTTCAAAAGGACAAACTTTATTTTCACAAATAATCCTTCACTTGGGGAATGTTATGGCTGCAACTCGTTCCCAACAAGCTGAGAAAGTTGTGGAATGCTCATCAAACACCTGTTTGAAACATTCCACAGGTGAACGGACTTACAGGCAACGGCTGGTTACCATGATTCCCAGTCATTCACAAAAAAAGATGGGGCAATGTTCACCTCTTCGTGAGCGAGTGTATGAGAAAAGGTCTACAACCAAGATTGTATGCACGTGACCTTCGATTCCTCAGGCGGCACTGCATCAAAAGCCAACATCAATGTCGACAGGATATCACCACATGGGCTCAGAATCACTTCAGAAAACCAACATCTGTGGTCTGACGAGTCCACATTTCAAATGTTTTTTTTTGAAATTGTGGACGTGGTGTTCTCCAAGCCAAACAGGAAATCCAAGAGCGTAATCTCAAATACATCATTCATGTGTAGAAACGCCTAAACGGTTCCATCAAAGTGGAACGACGTCGGCGATATTCACATCCTCGGTGGTGACATGGCATTGGCTCAAAGTGCTCGAGCGGTCGTCTCCGAACCCGAAGGTTGCGGGGTCGATCCTCAGCGCTTGAGATCGTGTCGAAGTGTCCTTGAGCAAGATACTGAACGCCCTGTTGCTCCTGATGCTGCGTCACCGGATGCGGAATGAGGAGACAGTCGGTGTTGGAGCACTTGAAGTACCTTGGAAGCCCATTGAACATCGACGTTGTCATGATTGAGAATTTGGAGTCTGCACCCCCAACTCAAGACCTTCATTTCAAACTCACCAGACACTTTGAAACACATGCGGCGAACAACAAATTCAAATTTTCTTTCCTATCACAAACATTTGCATCAAAGCAATCCGTCCTGGCGGTGGGTTTGTTAACTACGCCACCCATAGTCATATCGATGGTTGGAAGAGGTTGGAGCCTTGGAGCCAGCACTCCCAACTCCTAGAACCCTCATTTCAAATTCAGTCCTTCTGGTCTTTGATCTATGTCAGATTTTGTACTTATATTTGTGGAACAACATATGACCAAATAAATTCAACAAAAAATCTTGTTCGCAAGAGTGCCCTAGTCAAGACAAGTTAAAAAAAACCTTTCGACAAACAATCTCATGGCGGTTTCCCTTAGCATCATCCAATCCCATCAAAGCCAAAATAAGTGAAGCCTCGACGGCCTCCGAGCTTCTCACAAGTCCTCTGAACGTAAACAATGAGACAGGATCCCACTTTCAGCAGTTGCCAAAGATTCTTCCATGACCAAGTAGCTGCATATTTAAAAGATTTCCCCAGCTTAGAGCAGAATCTTGGCACGGTTTAAAAGTAAGGGTAGCACGACTGGATGCAGAGCTATTACAAGCAACTGGATCAAATAAGGTGCCCAATTCTCTGGGCATTGAATCGATCTGTTCTGGTTGTCCTCGAAGACAAATCCAGTGCATCTCGGAATTGTCAACCACATTGGCGATACTCAAGTTGGTCACGCTCAAGAAAGTTGGTTCTCACCCCTTCCAACTCCAAGACCCTGATTTTAAATTCAGCCGACACTCCAGCAAACACGCGACTGAAACCAAACTGGATTTTATATCAAGATCGAGATCAAAAACGGTTCCACCAAAGTGCTCTTGGCGTGAGCTGTCCATCTTGCCATCCACGCCGGTGATACTCACATCTCCGTCACGTTCTCGCTCTCTTGGGCCACCAGAGCCGGCACGCCGGTGATCCCGTTGGGCTCCAGGCACTGCAGCATCGCGAAAGAGCAGCGGCAAGCCGACGGGCATCCTTCCAGGGTGGGCGCCGGTGCCAGACTCAAGAGCAGGGGCAGCGCCAGCACCAGAGACGCTGCGCCCTTTGCCATGGTCATTCTCGCAAGGGAGGGGCTGAGGGTCTTCTCTCGCCTCGGGTCACCAAAGATGAGCGCTCACGAGCGGTGAGCCCGCCTGGTCAAGGGTCCGGGACGGAGGCACAGCTGTACTGAGCAGCGGGAGGGGCCGGCAGGCGGCCAGACAGGCGAGGCGAGGCAGTGCAAGGGCCCTCTGGGGACATGGTGGGGGGTGGTGGCAATGGAGGTGGAGGGCTGGTGCTTCTCTCTTTCTCCCTCTCTTTCCCTCTCCATCCCATGGAAGAAAGGGAGGGGCAACAGTCACCAGACACCTTTGAAAGTAAGCGGGTGGGATTTTTTTGGTGTTGTTTTGTTTGTTTGAGCTCAGGGCGTGTTGATGCTGATGCTGTGGAGATCTCATCTGTGGAAGATGCCCAGTTGAGATGTTCGCGATCTGGGAACGGCGAACCTAGGAATGAATGTTAAGTCCCAAAAGCAGTTAGTCTCATATTGTCTGCGAGCTGAGGCTAACATTAATGTTGAGGCTCACCTACAGTAGAGCTTGTTCCTGATCATGAATACTTTCGAGATGGGAGCGGCTAAAAATAAATAAATAAATAAAACAAGAGTCAAGTTTCAAGTGATTTGAGCAATAAATGCAAGCCGTACTATCTGACAGATGGCCCTTGCATATTTTCTCAACGGCGCTACAGATCTTATCCATCAACGTTGCCTTTGGAGTCTCGAACTCCACCTCCACCTCCAGATGTGATCAAACAGGTGAAGCAGGCAGCCGAAACCCTTTGCCGTTGGAGCATTCGCACTGCGGCAGACATCTCATCAGTTCCACCACTCAAACGTCTCCATAAGTGGCGGCCGCTTTTACCCCGGGGACAAATGCCTTGCCCCACCCCCATACCACCCAGTCGGTCCACTCACTATCGTGAGGTCACCGTGTCCCGACCACAATTACAGAACGTGTGCTAAAAACCCCTTTTTTTCTGCTGCTGTCATCAGGATTATCTGCTGCCTTAATTACGCTAACTTTTACACGCGTCTTCTTCTAGTTTTTTTTTTTTTTCTGGGGCTTAGCTCAGCAAAGTGCTGCGGGACAAAGTGCTTATTCACAGCAAAAGTGTTGAGAGGGCTCAGGGCGAGAGACCGCGAAGAAGATAAAATGAGCTGCAGTGCCTGTCGTTCATTTGGAGAAAACCATCTTGACATCTTTTGCATTCCTTGCGAAAAGACCAAAGATATTGGGCTATGGGATGGAATTTCAGGATGAGCGACAAATGCACCGTTACAATTGATTTTAATTTGGGTGCACCTGTGCATTGGTTCAATGTTTCAGTATTTATTATTTTTTGCACGATTTTCCGTTTGACAACAAGCAGCTGAATGGCAAAACTCACAACAGGCGTTTGATGCATCAAAATTTCCGAGGCCTTCTACTTGTATGCCTTTCTGTGACTCTTCCGGTCTCTCTGTTGTAACCTCCCAATGAGCCTCTAAGCACAGTGTCCACTTCTTGTTTGAAGACTGTTCTATTTTTTTTTCTTTTTATTGAACCAGCAAAAATCCCTTTGAGATGAAAAACCAAATTTTCAAGGGAGTCCTGGCCAAGATGCAGCAACAAGCACAAAATACAGTTCAAAACGTTCAAAGAAATGGAATCAGTTGGTTTCCGGTCTTCCTGTTGCACTACAAAAAAACAACAAATAATCCTGCCACCAAAGAGAATACTGTTAATCAATTGTTAGGTGTGGTCTTGGTCTCACAATGTCAAAATGTCAACACCGTGATGAAATTGACTGTTGAAATTGCATTTGGACTTGAACCATGAAGGGGGCAAAACACTTGCTCCCTTCAATGGGTAAAACACCCGCCAAGAATTGCCAGCGACCTGCTGGGAACAAAATTCGGCCCCGGGAACAGTCGGCGGCCGTAATGGTTGTAATGGTTGGAGTTTATGCTTGGCCAAATATCGGCCCAGCAGAAAATCAGGTTCAGTTGTGCACAAAATTATTCATATTTTCTTGTCAATCCAACAACGCGTTTGGTTTGTGTTAGTTTGTGATACCGGGCAACAAATGAGGCGGGCGGCGCGCTGGTGTGGGTTGTTTACCGACAAGCAAACAAGTTCGATAACGCGGGTCGGGTCGACGACACGACAATGAGTGCGTCTGTTTCCTGCCAGCGTCGTCCCGAGCAGCGTATTTATCTTTGCATTGGCAGCGGGAGATTGATTGAAAAGCCAAGTGTCGTAATTAACCCCTCCTGTGGCCATCAATCATCGTAATGCGCAAAAACGCTAATCTGGTTAAATACGGCAGGAAAAATGAGGCGGCTTTTATCTGTAGATCGGTCGCTGTTTCCAGCGAGTTTGTAATTACCACAAAGTTCATAAGAAAATAGATCATCTCCACATACATACATAATGCCGGCCATAAACGCAGTCGCTCGGACAACACAAAACGGTTATATTGTACTGAAAACTTTCACAGTGTGCCTTGGAACAAATAAACACTTTTTTCCAATATTGCGGAATGTGAGTTTGTGACAAATGGGACCTATTGTACGGCCACACTCGCCTGAAACGCCTCAATCCGACGTGAGTTTTCAAAGATTTCAATTCAGGACAAATCAACTTGGTGGAAAATTCTCCCAAGCGGAAGACATCGTCCCACAAAGTCGCTTTTCACAAAACGGAAGTGCGCTCAAATGAGGATGAACGGTTTCTGCATTTAAAGTCAACACGAGCAATTCTGAAGCGGCGATCCAAAATCAAACTAACAATCCCGAACGACAATCCGACAGGTTGAGTGTCTAAACTGTCAGAGTATAAAAAAAAAAAAAAAAAAACGTACTAAGTCAAGATGAACTCATTCACTGCTGTGAGTGTTTATATTGGGGAACTGCCACCTGCGAACTTATTCCTCAAGTAATTTTTTTAACAGGCACCGTGGTAGACATGAAATCGTCGGGCATTTGATGTCGTTGGTCGGTGTGATTCAACATATGAATTCCCTTTACGTGATGTGGCGACGTCGCAACGTACAGCCCATCAGGCGCGCAGACGGCGTTCACATATTGACGAAAAACCCATTTCCGCATTTAAGACAAGACAGCCAGAGAGCTGGCCGCCGTCTAGTCGAAAATACAGCGATTACAACAGACCTATTTTGTTTTACAACAGTATTGTATCATATTTACAATTTCATATGGACCACGGATAAATGCGCAAAAGTGATTTTGGAAGGGGGCTAATGGAAAAGTGCCGCGTGTGTGCGGGCCATAGTGTTAATTGTCGCATTTAGGACAACAAATGAATGGACCAATACACTTCCAGGCTCAATAGGAATGGGGTGCAACATTGTTGGGTTGCAATATTTCAAAAGAAAAAAGAATAAACATCCAGCCTTGGAAGACCTCCAGGTGGTCCGGTTCCAAACATGCTCGGGTTAATGAAATGGATTTGCTCTGTGTTTAGAACAACGTGAATAGAATTGAAATGTTTTTTTTTTTCCTTGTCCTTTCTTCTGTCCTGCCATTCAACGACAAGCCGCCATTTTTCATTTTGATGATCGGGGACGGAGGAGAAAGGAGGAGGAGGAAATGTGGAGCCAGGGCGTAACGCAAGCGACAAGCGGGTGAGTAAAAGCTCTTTTGGACCATGTACAAGGGAAGGCTTTTACACTTGCAGTGCAGTAAATGTTTGCAGGCGGCCATTAAGCGGCTGCTCATTTATGTTACACGTGTGTTATGTCACGCGCATGCTCGTACTTGCGCATATTTCTCCAAAAGTGTCTCAGGTTGAGGTAACAAAAAGTCTCGGAGACTTTTGTGGGGCTCCGCCGTTCATCACTTCATTTCATTGCTTCTCAAAAAGTGGACAGTCAATTGATTACTTGGAGCCGTCGTGTCTGACAAGAGTTCAGAAAAATCTTCAATAGTAGCTAATTAGCGGGAAAAGGAAAGCAGGATTTTGATTTATATTTGATTTGCAGCCTACCCATAAACCTGTACACAGCACTTCGCACGAACGTCTCTCAACCCAGCTCCACTTTTGTTTCGGAAAATTCAGCCCCTCCCAAAAGACTGTGGAGATTCCTGGACGACGGGGCTCCTGATGCTGCGTGACCTCGCTCATGTTAGGGCCACGCGAGCACATGTCAGCCACCGCCGCTTATCAGATAAACGCAAGTACAACAAGCTAGTGGAACAAGATCCACACGGGCGCTTCTTATCTGCACAATCTCAACATGGCCCTCCCCACTGCCCATTCCAAGGCCTCACCCCGCTTAATCCCCCCCCCCCCCCCCCCCCCAAAAAAAATCCCCCCCCCCCCGCCTCTTTTCTCCTCATCGAGCGGCCGGCTCCGATTCTTCATCGCTCCTCCTCCTCTTCATCTTTTCTGACATTCACACCAGCACGTCATTGTTTCCCTGGCATCGCAGGCTGAATCCACACCCTGCCTCTCTAATGCCCGCATTAGTCTGTGTTTATTACCGCGCATGCGGGCGCGCGTGTGTGTTTGATCATCACGCTTTGGGCAAACCCAGGATCAATGAGGTGCGCGCATGTGAAACCCGATCACCCCGTCCCAGACCGTCATTAGCAGCCGGCCTGTGGACACCAGAGGCTTGTGTAGATGAGCAGAAACCAGAGGAGGAGTTTTGGGGGCTGGGGCGAGAGGGGTTGTTGGGTGGGGGTCAGGTGGGGGCGGTCCAGCTCCTCTCAATCACAGTTACATCTCACCTCCCACGATGCGATATACTCCTGTTGCAATCTGGCTTGATCTCATTAGTGTTGAGCAAGATTTCTTCGTGACACCCGTTCATCTGTTGTTTTTTTTATTTTGTTGTTTTGTTTTGTTTTGTTTTTGCATGACATCGCTGACAGAAAATCTGATTAAAATTTTTTTTTTTAAACACCTTCAAATTGGAGTGATACACTGTAACTCATTATTCCTCCAAATATTTTTGGGGAAAATCCCACAAAGATGGTGGCCACTTGTCAGGGTTATCACATGCCACACGAATGCTACTTTTGTTAGCCGGTCTCTGGTGTTTCCCATTATGTGTTAGCACTCAGCTAGTGGACTTCAAGGCAAAGCTTTGTGGTTGCTGTAAAGACACAAAGTGTCTTTCTGTGATGTTTGATGTTGATTTTTCGCATTAACTTGAGCCGGGACGTCAAAAACCAGCTCCAGAGGAATTTGTTCGCCATTTGCCAAACTGCTG